CAGCCCTTCTGTAAGGGTCCTGCCCTCATGACTCAGTCACTAAAGGACCCACTTCTCAATGCCATCGCATTGCCATCAAGTGTGCACATGTGAACTTTGGAAATCACAGTAGTCATTCAAACCGTAGCACTGTGTGTGAGTGTGCAGAGTGTGTGTACGTATACATATACACATATACACACGTTAGATTTGCATACACATATTGCTTTGTGGTGTGAGTACAATTTAGTTTTTGATATTTAAATATAACTTCATCTGTAGACTCATTTAATGATTATTTATTGCGTTGCTATTCAATAGTGCTGTTTTAGATGCTGTTCTTGGCAGAGGAAAAAGTCTTTCTCGGTCAAAGAGTGTGCCTTCTAAACAGAGGGACGGAAAATAAACAAAGGAAGGACCAAATCTGAGGCACATCTGGTGGCAGTCAATGACAGGAAGAGCACGTAAGGCAGAGGAAGGGTTAGAGATCAGAGGAGGCCGACATTGAATAAAGGACTGACTCAACCCAAGAGAACGTGGGATCAATGACAAGGGGGAGAACTAGTTGGAATAAGATTTGGGACTTACTGATATACAAAAATCCTTTTACTGTCATACTTAAAAGTTGGTCAGATACATTATGGCTGTTAACTTTTCACTACATCGGGCATTTTAGAATATTAGCTATTTATTAGATACTTAGAACACTATTGTCTTAAAACACCCTGGTGTGTCTATTTGGATGTATAGTCAGAAAGGGCGCATGTGTATGTGTTCCTGGTCTGTAGGCCTTTCGGGAACCTCAGCCTCCCTGTGCATTAGATCTGAGCAGAACAACCCTCTTCAGGGCCCTCCAAGGCTAGGAAGCTTCACACTCATCCTACGATTTTCCTACCTCCCCGCATTATAGTCCAGGTTCACGTCTTAGAAAGGTTTTCACAACCGGCTGGTAACCACCTGGATCACCTTTTCCACGAGGTGATGGCTGACTGTCCCAGTTCAGTTGATCCAATTTCCACTCACTCAGCACTTACCAGGCTCCCACTTGGCGGTGGGTGGTGGGGAATTGAGGCCAGAGATGGAAGACAAAACACGTCTCCTGACAGAGCTCCAGAGGAGAGACAGGGAGTGAGAAGCTGGGGGGACGGATGCAGCGACGGAGGCCGGGTCAGGTGTGGACAGCAGGCAGCACTGGAGGGCCTCACGGTCAAGGGGGTCAGCCTGTCGGCGGTGCTTACCACGGTTTTAGGAGTGATCCCTGACTTCTTGCATGTGATGAAAACAATTTCACATCTGGTTATATACCCCAAAGAATTGAAAGCAGGGACTCAGAAGACATATTTGCACCCCTGTGTTCTCAGGAGCATGGTTCACAGTAGCCAAAACGCGAGGACGACTCAAACACCCAGCACGAACGGTTCTATACGTACAATGGATGTCATCCAACCTTAAAAAGGAAGGAAAATGTAATACTACGCTTGCGAATATTTTGCTCAGTAAAACCACCCAGACACAAAAAGACCAACGTTGTGTGATTC